GATTGACAACATCTGCAAAGACGTGATTTTCGGATGGAGCTCCGGAAATGTTTGGAGGTTCCGGAAGGGGTACAACGGACCGGATATCAATGGTCCGAAGGTTAACACTGGTCAGGTGGAGGTGAGTACTGAATCAGACCGGATCCTTCTAGCTCGCTAGTCCTGCAACAGGTAACTGCGTTAACTAGGGATATATGGACGGTTTAATCAGCGGAGGTGACTCGGTGCTATCAGAAGTGTGTTCATCCACCGATATGGTAGATGCGGACGGGTCAGAGTGTATTCCAGGTGAGAGGGTCCGGAAATGCAACCAAGTGCAATAGGACATTAGTGGATGTGATGCAAAAAACATCGGACGACTCTCGACAGGCTCAATGGATATTGGATGGACGGATCTGGATGTGTTCAAATGATGCGCAATGCAATATGCGTGTTTCCCATAGTCGTCCGAAGCGGATCCGACTGGGGAATGCATCTGGATAGTTTGGATGGGCATGGGACGGAGCGAGTGGTTCTGGGTGGAAATACATTGACAAGGGTGTTGTGAATACTCAAGCGGAGTCCCTATCCCCCCTTTTGGGAGAAGTTCCCAAAACTTTTGGAGAAGGAAAATAGGAAGAGGGTTCCGGCAGGAGTTTCGGATGGTCAGTGGACTGGATGGTTGCGCAAATCATGCACGGATAATGCACGGAACTGGAAGTGCATCACGGATTTGAACAGATGGACCAGAAAGTGAAAAACGCGGAGCAGGCCTTTGGTGCTAAGATTTCCGGAGGTATCACCGGTGCTTTTCCGGAGCTGGAGTAGACTCTGGAGAAGACAGCTATGGAATGGTGATGGAGTATAAGTCAGGAACTGTGACTGGAGTGGAAGTGGCAACTGAAGCAACCAAGAGCTATTGCGAAGCATATCCATACTATTCAAAGATGGTCCGAGATGAAGGATGGGTCGGAGGTAGGAGTGACAGTGTTCCTCAAGAAAGCCACTTGAAATCCGGAAGGTTGAGATCCGGATATAGGGGTAGAGGTCGGAAATTGCAATCTGGAGGACACAAGACAGAGGACGAACGGATAACGGACGAACGGATAACGGACGGACGGATAACGGACGGACGGATAATGGATGGATAATGGATGTATGGATAGCGGACAGATAGTGGACGGATAACGGATGGATAGTGGATGGATAGTGGACGGATTGGATAACGGAAGGACGGATGGATGTAGCGTGCACGGAATGAGTTGCAATGCGATTGGTACTTGAAAACTCCGTAGGTCCGAAAGTATTGCTAGTGCATTTCCAGGATAGGAGCGGAAATGGTTACCAAGGCTGGAAGGAGCTATTGCAAAGCATATCCACTAACATCCGAAAATGTCCAGAGACAAGGAAGGGGTCATAGGTAGGAGTATGAGCTTTCATCAAGAAAGTCATCGGATATCCGGAGTTTTGAGTTCCGGAGCAGATAACGGAAACGGAGTGCAGAGGAACAGGACGGATAACGGACGGAAAATGTTGCAGAGTGGAAATGTGACAGAGGATGAGGACGGATGTGTGAAGCGGAGGTTCGGAGCGGAGGTGTGAAGTGAACAGATCATCAATGGATTGGAGGACCAGAGGTTTGAGGTGGATTTGAGCAGAAATGGATGGATGAGCTGCAACGCAAAGTAGGGACTTGGTGCTGAAAACTCCGGAGGTCCGGAAGTATCACCAGTGGGCATCCTGGACATGGAACGGATCCGGAAAACATATCGTTGACTGGTGAGGGATTACTAGACCAGAAACCGGAAATGGATCGGAAGTAGTATCAGCGTTTCATAGAGCAATCACGATGCATGTCCATTCTAATCTGGAAAAGTCCTGAGATGATAAGGAATGGGTTGGAGGTATAAGTGGAAGCATCCATCAAGGAGGCTTTCGGATATCCGGAGTGTTGAGTTCCGGAACAGAAATCGGAAGTAAGGATCTGCTAATGCACGGAGGACAGTGGATAGCGGACAGAGGATAGAGGATGTGCGGAAAAGATTGTGCAGTTGCAGAGCAGAGGTATGGAGTGTAGTGAAGGCCTTCATCAAGGAAGCCAATAGAGATCCGGAGCTTCAAGCTTCGGACGGATAGGGGTAAGCCCGGATGACATCGGAAACACGCTAAAACATCAGACGGAGGAGGACAAAGCCGGAAGTTGGTCAGGATCTTGAATAGGATGTAGCAGTAAGTGGAGTTGCTATCCCCCTTTTACGGGAGACATTCCAATGTCACGGGAGAACAAATGAAAAGTGCTCTGGACCACGGGAAAGGGTTCCGGAGCGGATCCGACTGGAAGCGGATCGGACGTGGAGGTGGAGGTTGGGCGGAAGGGGACCCAAACGGAACCATTGCCAGGAAAACCAAACCCGAACACTTGGCAGAAAACTATCCGGAAGGACAGAGACCTTTTACAAGGAGGGTAATGGAAACCAATACAAGGTAACTGGGTGATGGACCGGACATGAACCGGAGGAAAGGACGTGGCTAGCGCAGAGATAGGGTTTTCCGCGGAAAAGCGGACGAGGGACGTCGGATCAATGGCATTTCCTATAGTAGTACCCGGAAAGAGGTTTTGCAATACCCTATTGATCAACGGATCATAGCGGGTTAGCAAGAATATCCTGAGTAGTACAAGGAGAATCCAAAGGAGTTGAATGGCGAAGCATTCCGGAGGTGACTTAGCCAGTCCGAGGCAACGCATAGGCACAGCCACAGCGGAGCGGAAACAGAAACAGAAGGTTTTCGGAGCCGGAGGAATTTGGAGGGTGTCGGAAATGATGGAGATTGGGTCAGGGAGTTGCAGGATGTCAAATCCTGCTACCTATTTGTGCTGCCATGGGGGTGGCACTCCTGTTTGGCTTCAGGAGGGTGGAAATGAAATCCGAAAATTCTTGCATATCCAGGAGGCTATCCGGAATGGAAGGAAATGAAATCCGAAAAAACTCGGATTTCTGAAGGGGTGTCCAAAAAACGCGGACGCAGAGGAGTTGGAAGGAGAATCCATAGTTTCCGAGAGATGGGAGTCGGATCTGAATAAGGCATGATGGGATAGGATATCAATATACTCGGTAAGGTGTGAGTTCGAATATACTGTTAAGACCGTACTCAAGTAGTATCAGGATCCGAAGGGCTTCGGCCTCAGCTCGTGCGCTGTGCCCCTTTCCCGAGTCTTGCCCCTTATTTCAGAGAGCTAAAGTATCGCGTATATAGAGTAACGGCCAATCCGGATCGGATCCGGACTAGAAACTAACGGGTGAGGACTGTCCGAAGACAGAGGCGGATATGTAGACTATAGGAATCTATCCTAAGTCTCGGAGTAGACAAGAGTAGCGTACTCAAGTCCGGATGGATAACGGAGGGACTCAGAGTCCAGACGGAATGAGTGCAATCTAAGATGATATTCGAACTGAGGAAACTTTACAGGAGTTGTACAGAGGTTTATATACTGGACGGGATCCGAGAGGATCAGTAAGCTGAAGACAAATGCTATGTACGAGCATGTGGAAACATATTGGTAAGTATGAACGGAACATAAACAAATGAACTCGGAGATGAACAAAGTACAAGGATCAATAAGCAAGACGGAAACACAGATAACCGAAGTCCGGAGTCAAGAGGATTACCATAAGGAGATAGACGCTGATTTAAGGTTTGAGCTTCGGATATGAGTATAGGTCGGATCCGGAGGTCTAGAGATATCGGATGAGGCGTCTGGATATCGGATGAGCGGATCCGGAGATCTAGGTGAAGACGAGACTAGGATATAGATCATGGATATCATCCGGTAGTCTAGGGAAGGTAAAGTCTCAGGTAGGATGAGCTCGGATCCGATGGGATCAAGGGTGGATGAAGCAGGCTTAGCTGCGGAGGTCCGAAGGTATGGATATATGGATGTACGAAGGTGTACGGATCCAAACCGATAGTGGACTGGAGGACTGCAGGCATGGATAAGGGTATGGAGTCATGGATAAGGGTATGGAGGTCCGGATGTGCATCCGGAAGGCGTCCGGAAGGCGTGGGAACATCATCGGACGTAGGTCCAGAATACGGGATATGACAGGTTCCAACTATAATGATATCCAAAACTTAAACAAGTCCTGGCTTCTGCATTCAAGTAAAATGTGGTGATGGTTGCCACCATCACCACCAGCATGCAGCATAGCGCAGGTGTGCCCTGGTTTTTAACATTCTCATTTCCAGCTTGGTCTTGCCATAACTCATCAACCAAATCTGTTGTCTGAACTATGGACTGCGAGTCCACAGGTCTGTCTGTAGGAAACCTACACCCGTGCCACCACTGCACCGCCATGCATCCAACTCCCCATGAAATTGAATGAGTCCGACAGGATATCCAATATTTGCCTTGGTGAGCAAGGTGCTCCTTTTCCTGCTCTGCAGTTGTGTCCACAACAAATGTTTAGCCAAGGGATTTTTGATGCCTTTTCGTGACGGCTCTTGGGATTAGCAAGTCGAGGATGTATACACTGAGTAATTCTGAATAACCAACAGCTTGGTGGCTGTCCGAGTCAACTGATGGCCACAATGTGGATTTCCACCTGCCAGACTGAGCCTTGAACAAGTTGAAGTGTCAATGAGCTAGGTGAAATAAGTGCACTTCAGGTTAGTCAGGGCCAGTGCTAATTATCATTGCAGGGACGACTCGGATAGCTGAAGAGCAAGGGTATCTCACATCTGCGAACCGCAAGTAAACCTGTCTTCTGGCACGACTTGGATGAATATCAACTTCAGCCCGGGAGGCTTGGGTTGCTGAGGTTATGGGGAATGTCAACAAAACACACAGGAAGCTGAGACTCTAGAGGTTTTGTAAATGTTCATTAAGTCATAGATTCTACAGGAATCAAGAGATCAAATGTTTTTCTGAGATGCAAGCAGCAGCCAGCTACAGTAAAAACGATGCATAGGGTAACCCTTCCATGTCCTCCGAGTCCACCATGCAAGAGACTCCCCAAGAGGATTTAAGAAGTGACAGTCTGGATACAAACAAGGTTGTCATTAAGTCCACCGAACAACGTCTGCCCATCTGCTGACCATGCGACCAACACACTTGGCTCCCTGTGAGTTGAGATCAACATCAGTGAAGCTGGGCTTGAGCTCATCCTAGGCATCGCACTGATAAGCTAGTAGTAGATGCCACAAACATAATTTTGAAATACTGCTCTCAAGGTCAAAGATTTCAATGCAGCTGGCAGTGGTAGCATGTAGCCAGTAGTGGTTGGGCGAGAACAAATCCACTGAGTAATGTCTGCCCATCTGCTGACCATGCAGTCGATACACATCAGGTCTCTGTGAGTCAGAATCAATGTGAGTGAAGCTGGGCTTGAGCTCGTCCTAGGGATAGCGCCAACTTGAATCAGTTAGATATCATAACAAAATTTGGAAGTACGTACTTGCTCTCAAAGTCAAAGATATCAGCGCAGCTGGCACGGACAGCATGTAGCCAGTAGCAGTTGGACGCGAACACATCCACTGAGCAACGTCTGATTGTCTTGTTGACCATGCGATCGACACACTTCGGGTTCCAAGTGAGTTGGGGCCAACATCAGTGAAGCTGGGCTTGAGCTCGTCCAAAGGATCACACTGATAAGCTAGATACAATGTCACTAGACTAGGACAGCTAATGATATGAATCTTAAGGAATGCTCACCTTTACAACCTTGTCCCATCCACAGGATACAATAACATGACATTGGGGCTAAAACGCACACATGACATCCTGGATCGTATTGTCAGGGTCTGATATTCTATTTATGCATGACTCCCATGTACCACTCAGT